TTTTTTTTAAAATTTTTTTTTTTTGGGTTTTTTTTTTTTTTTTTTTTGAGTTGGAGTCTCACTCTGTTGCCCAGATGGAGTGCAGTGGCACACTCCTGGTCACCGCAGCCTCGACCTGCTGGGCTCCGGCGATCCTTCTGCCTCACCCTTCCAAGGAGCCAGAACTGCAGGCATGCGCTACCACACCCGACTAATTTTTGATTTATTGTAGAAACAAGGTCTCGCCAAGTTGCCCGGGTGGGTCTCGAACCCACAGGCTCAGGCAATCTACTTGCCTCAGCCTCCCAAAGTGCTAGGATTACAGGCTGAGCCACCGAACCCAGCCTCTTTTTAAGAGAAAAAATTCAAGTGGCCCTCAATTGATCTATTTTAAATACCTAAATAAATTTAGATTTCAATTCAAGGACATAAAATATCTGAGATATATAGCCAATGTATAATAGTATATCCAATACTGTTTAACATTGAGTATTTTTGTACTGACCTGCTTTTCAGTTTGGAATCTTTTTTTTTTTTTTCAATTTTAGGTTTTTGGGCCATTTATATGCTGCAGAAGCCCTCATCTCTCTCGACAGAATATCTGATGCCATTACTCACTTGAACCCGGAGAATGTCACTGATGTCTCCTTAGGGATCTCTTCAAACGAGCAGGACCAAGGTTAATGAGGACACATTTGATCAGAACTGGTCACTGTTTCCACTTCCTTCCTGTCGTAATTCAGGATGTGTGGAAATTTAAGGGTATGGTTGTCAAGAGAAGGAAGCTTTAGGTCGGCTTTCCACATTTTGGCTGTACTTACTTTGTAGTAATTGTTTGCTAAGTAGACCCAGGAGTTGATTATCACGTGGTCTGAATTCTCACTTTTGAAAGGCTGATGGTGTCAGGATCATATATTTTGGTTCTAAGACTATTTTTTCTTTGGAGTGATTCGTAGTTTAGGAGGGAAGTAAAAATGTTGCATTCAAAAATCAGTTTTAAATCATGGCTAAGTTTTCCAGGAAGTGAAATCGACATTCACTTTATTCAGGGTTAGCCCTCAGGCTTGAGATGGTGTCGGTGGACATCTTCTAAGAGAATCTCCACTGCCTGAAGAGTAAATACCATGACAGGTTGCTTTATATAGACTTCTATGCATAGCAAAGTTAGGGCTTAGAAAATATGCTCTATTGTCCTGCCCCTCAGATTTATTTTCATGCTTTTGTAGGATCAGACAAAGGTGAAAATGAAGCGATGGAATCCTGTAAGTAAGAAGCTTTGTAAATACTTAAGTAGCCTGGCCTGCATCCCAGCAATGTAGACTCAATCTTGTGCGTTCTTCCTTTGTCAGCCTGAGGAATAGTGCTGTGCTTTGTTTTGAGTGACTCCTCGAGGGCAGTAGACTGGGCTGCACGCTTGCCTGGCACGGCCTCTTCACCCGTGTCTGCACTCTTTCCCCAGCTGGCAAGCGGGCCCCTCAGTGCTACCCCAGCTCCGTCAGCTCCGCCAGGACCGTGATGCTGTTCAACCTGGGCAGTGCCTACTGCCTGAGGAGCGAATGCGACAAGGCCCGGAAGTGTCTCCACCAGGTGAGGCCGAGCCGGCCAGGGGCTTGAGGGCTATGGTTCTCACTATCTTGCTTGAGGCATCCGGCCAGTCTGTTGGATATGGGGATATCACCTTGCCAGGTTTGAGAATATCCTTGCAGGGCAAACAGCCGATTGGCATTGCAAATGAACCCAGACATTTAATGGAGAGTTTCTCCCAAAGACTGAAAACTGCCTAAGAGACCACTTAAATAAACAATGGTACACCTATACAGTTCAACACGATGCAGCTATAAACTGTGTACTCACTGGGCACAGTGGCTCGAGTCTGTCATCCCAGCACTTTGGGAGGCAGGGGCGAGAGGATTGCCTGAGCCTGGGGGTTCGAGACCAGCCTGGGTAACGTGGCAAGCCCTCGTCTCTACAATAAATCAAAAAATTAACTGGGCACAGTGGCGCATGCCTGTGATTCCAGCTACTTAGAAGACTGAGGCGGCCGCCCTCAGTGGCTCAGCCTGTAATCCTGCACTTTGGGAGGCTGAGGGGAATGGATTGTCCAAGCCCGCAGGTTCGAGACCTGCCTGGGCACCTTGGTGAGACCTCATCTCTACAATAAATCAAAAAATTAGCCGGGCGTTGTATCATGTGCCTGTAGTTCCATCTACTTAGAAGGCTAAGGCAAGCTGGGCTCGGCGGCTCAACCTGTAATCCCACGCCTTTGGGAGGTTGAGGTGAGTGGATTGCCTGAGCCCGCGGGTTCAAGACCCATCTGGGCAGGCAAGACCTCATCTCTACAATAAAAATCGAAAAATTAGCTGGGCGTGGTAGCACACACCTGTAATTCCGGCTACTTGGAAGGCTGAGGCGGAAGGATCGCCGGAACCCAGCAGGTCGAGGATGCAGTGGCCGGGAGCGGCCACTGCACTCCAGTCTGGGTGACAGAGTGAGACTCCAACTCAAAAAAAAAAAAAGAAGACTGAGGTGGTGGGATCACCTGAGCCCAGCAGGTCGAGGCTGCGGTGGCTGTGAGCATGGTACTGCAATCCAACCTGGGTGACAGTGAGACTCAGACTCAAAATAAAAACAAGAACTATGTACTAAAATGAAAAAATGTTCAACACATACTAAGTGAAAAGAGCAACAGTTTCTACAGAATCTTACATGTGCATAAAAGATCTCTGAAAGAGCATACCAGAAACTGCTAACATTGATTTTAGGGGTAGCAGGATGAATACTATGTGGCTGGAATGCTCAGATGGGAGACTTTTTGCTATATGCTACTATGCTTTTTAATTTTGAATTGTGTAAATCTATATTCAGAAAGCTAATTGTGAGTACGTCTTTCAGAAAGAGCTCAGAAAGCCATTACTAGAGAAACTCCATATACACTAAAGAAAACTGCTAGCAATATATTACTAAAATAGACCTCTGAATTCTACCACTGAAATGGGGCATCAGACCAGACAAGGTGGCTCACACCTATAATCCCAGTGCTTTGCAAGGCTGAGGCGGGAGGATTGCTTGAGCCCAGAAGTTCGAGACCAATCTAGGTAACATAGCAAGACCCCATTTCTGCAAAAAAAAAATTTTTTTACTGGCTGTGTGTGGTGGCTCACACCTGTAATCCCAGCACTTTGGGAGGCAGAGACAAGAGGATTGCCTGAGCCCACAGGTTTGAGACCAGCCTGGGCAACTTGGTGAGACCTCGTCTCTACAATAAATTCACAAAAAATATAGCTGGGCATGGTGGTGCATGTCTGCAGTTCCAGGTACTTAGAAGGCTGAGGCGGAAGGATCACCTGAGCCCAGCAGGTCAAGACTGTAGTGGCTGTGAGCGAGCGTGCCACTGCACTTCAGTCTGGGTGACAGAATGAGACTCCAACTCAAAAAAGAAAAGAAATGGGCATCATGAGGCCTCAAGGAAGATGGCTATTGGACCTCTTTAGATCACCTGCTCATCCCTGGGCCAGTCATGGGCATGGATCCATACCTGTACCATCCATACCTATACCAGCCTCAGAAGGATTTCCCAGAATAGGAAAGGAATAATTTTTCCAAAGGACATTCATCCAGCAGATATCTGTTGAGCACTGATTTTCTGTGCGAGAAGATTAAGTCTAAATAATGAGAATAAGACTGCAAATAAGCAGACAAGATACAGCCTTCTCCCGTAGGCCCTATAATCATGAGATACCGTCCTAAAGGAAAATTGCAAGACCAAAGTGTATACAAACTTTTGAGACTTCTAATATAGAATGTTTGTGCCCAAGGGTACATTCATCAGCACATGAGAAAGCCTCCATCCCCCACATGCTTGCCATAGTAATTGAAATTGGAATGAAACTTATTCTCAGGAGAGAGGTGGCTTCCACAAATGTCCTGCTTACTCAGAGAACCTCGTGCCTGGAAGTGATGATGCTTTGCCATGTGGAAAATAATCGCAGATAGTCAACACAATGGCATCTGGTCAGCATTTCTGATCCAAAATCAGAAAAGTTAAGTGATGTACTGTCCAGGGAAACATGTTGGATGTTATCTAGGAAGTGAGTGCATGAGTTAAGCTGGTGAGAGGTAGAGCATTTCACGGTTCTCTGGGGCAAAGCCAGGGTGTGTAACGTCCCTCTCGACGTGCTGCCGGACCCCGATCTCTGTAGCATGCAGGACTTTTGGTGTAAAGTTGCAGAGTGTACAGTCCAGCTCAGGTTCTCGGACAGCAGGTGGCCATGGCTGCTGCCACGCTGGGAGAGACAGATGGGGTCAGGGCTGGCTCGAGGTCTGAAGGGAGGTTTTGTTTTGGTCCCTTGGTTTTTAGGTTAATCCAATGGCCAGACTTTTGTTAATTGGGAGGCCCACCCTGCCTGGGAGGGCAGAACAATGGTGTGAAGGGTTCGAAAGGGCTAAGTCGATGTTCCCTAGGCTGCTTGCCCACCATCAGCCATTCTGAACAGCCAGTAAGCAAAAAGTCTTCAGTCTCGGAAAGCTCTTGCCTTGAATTCTTATATTTTAGAAAAAGCTGCTGGCTGAGGTCAAGGCAAAGAACAGTAAATGACCTGTGTTTACTAGCCACTTGGATGGAAAATAAACATTTTTAATAGCCACAAAATGATGTGAAGATGGTCTTCCCTGTGTAGCTCGTCTGTAAAGCTAGGCCTAGAAGTATAAACTCTCATTTTCTCTTTTTGTTTGTTTTTGTTTTTTGTTTGTTTGTTTTTGTTTTGTTTTGTTTTGTTTTGTTTTGTTTTGTTTTGTTTGAGTTGGAGTCTCACTCCGTCGCCCAGACTGGAGTGCAGTGGCACACTCCCAGCCACCGCAACCTCAACCTGCTGGGCTCCGGCGATCCTTCCGCCTCAGGCTTCCAAGTAGCTGGAACTACATGCACTCGCTACCACACCTGGCTCAGTTTTTGATTTATTGTAGAGATGAGGTCTCGCCAAGTTGCCCAGGCGTGTCTCGAACCCCCCGGGTTCAGGCAATCCACTCACCTCGGCCTCCCAAAGTGCGGGATTCCAGGCTGAGCCACCGAGCCCGGCCTAAACTCTCATTTTCTGAACTGAGTTATTCTTACCTAAGCAATGGAAGGAGAGGAACATAAGCCTCCCAGCTCACTTGTGGGAGCTTCTTGGGGGCGCGTGTCGTGGATGAGATTTCCTACTGGTCTGGGATTTCTCCTTATGCTGCCAGGTACCCACCCAGTGCAAGTTTCTGGCACCCCCAACACCTCCCACATTTAGGCTTCCACGCTCAGCACCGTTGCTTCCCATTTCCTGCCTGTCAGATGCCTACCGTCAAGGATTAAGGCTTCCTTTCCCCAAGCGCTCTGTTTGAAAGAAACTTCTTTCTCTTTCTCCGTCTTCGCAGCACCCTCACTGGCCTCTCTCTCTGGCATTTAGGAGAATGTGTTTGGATTATTGTTCGTTATTTTCATGCCTGCTTATTATCAGGAAAGTCCCTGCTTATCTCCACACCCACCTCTGGTTAGTGTTTGTAGAAGTACGTTTTCCGGTTAGATTAAGGGAAGAAGCAAAGTGGTCTGGAAGCAGTGAGCAATGCCCCTAGTGGGGAAATACAAGTTGATAGCAAGGTGAGGAAAAGGCACAGGCCAAAGAGGCCCTGACTGAGGAAATAAATTTGTAATTTCAGCACCTTTTTTTTTTGGAGTTGGAGTCAAACTGTGTCACCCAGACTGGAGTGCAGTGGCTGCTCCCAGCCACCACAGCCTCGACCTGCTGGGGTCTGACGATCCTTCCTCCTCAGCCTTTCAAGTAGCTGGAACTACAGGCGTGCGCTACCATGCCCAGCTAATTTTTTTTTATATATATTGTAGAGATGAGGGCTCGCCAAGTTGCCCAGGTGGGTCTCGAACCCGCGGGCTCAGGCAATCCACTCACCTCAGCCTCCCAAAGTGCTGGGATTACAGGCTGAGCCACCGAGCCCAGCTTTTCTGTGTTACCATTTAAGTTTGAATTCTTATTCCTGACATTGACAATTTACAACTTACAGTACTGAAATGTTACTTCGGAAAACAAATGGTCATGCAGATTTTGATGTAAATACCACTGTATCTATGGGAGGGGCCAGCTGCATCAGGGGTGTCCAGTCATCCATCTCCAAACCCAGCATATTACATGTCTAACTTTTGGGAGGTTTTAAGGCAAAGGCAGCTAGGAAACATCACTTCAGAACAATAGGTGTTCCCTAGGAAGTCATGTGGGAATGAGCTCGGATAAGTTTGCTGCCTTATGGTGGGCTAGTAGATGTTCTTGGAGTTTGTACCTTAAGCTGCTGGTGTTCATGGGTGTCTTTCTGTTTTGAGCAAAGGCGGCTTCAATGATCCATCCTAAAGAGGTCCCCCCTGAGGCCATCTTGCTGGCAGTCTACCTTGAACTGCAGAATGGTGAGTCATGCTCTCTGGTTAGGACTGTATCCCTTCCAAGAGCACAAGATTTTTGACGTCTGCTTTTTCTCTTCAAAGTCAAAACTTTTTCTACCTCGAAGATATTACTCATCAAATTCTTCTAAACAAAAATGTAGTTGGGAGTTTTTGGTATCCTACAAATATCTCCTTGTAGGTTATGTGTATTTCCCTTTATCTGTGAAAATGCAGAATCATAACTGTTGACACCTATTTATAATTAATCCCTACTAATTAACCTTTCTCTTAGGCAGCAAAATGACTCTATTTGAGAACATGAGTCAGAATGCCAATTGCTTTGAGTTGTACCCCATAGTATTTTGGGTTTTTTTGTTTTGTTTTTTTGAGTTAAGAGTCTCACTCTGTCGCCCAGACTGGAGTGCAGTGGCCACTCCCGGCCACCGCAGCCTCGACCTGCTGGGCTCCGGCGATCCTTCTGCCTCAGCCTTCCAAGTAGCCGTAATTACAGGCATGCGCTATCACACCTGACTGATTTTTTTATTTATTGTAGAGATGAGGTCTCACTGCCCAGGTGGGTCTTGAACCCGCAAGCTCAGGCAACCCACTCACCTCAGCCTCCCAAAGGTGCGGGATTACAGGCTGAGCCACAGAGCCGGCTAACCCATAGTATTTTGGACACAGGTGTCATTAATGAGTTTCACAGTAAGTCTGTTCTCACTGGGAATTACTTATTCTCAGTAAACCACACAGTCCAGGTCATGCCTTTGGGGCATACCTGCTCTCCAGGATGTGGCTTACTAGGAGAAAGGCTGTGGACCCTAAATATGAGATGGCATGAAGTAAAAAAAAAAAAGAGATGTGGGCTGGGCTTGGTAGCTTAGCCTGTAATCCCAGCACTCTGGGAGGCCGAGGTGAGTTGATTGCCTATGCCCGCGGGTTCGAGACCAGCCCAGGCAACTTGGCGAGAACTCGTCTCTACAATAAAAAAATTAAAGGCCAGGTTCAGTGGCTCAACCTGTAATCCCAGCACTTTGGGAGGCCAAGGCAACTGGATTGCCTGAGTTCGCGGGTTTGAGACCCACCTGGGCAATTTGACGAGCCCTTGTCTCTACAATAAATCAAAAATTAGCCAGGCGTGGTAGCACGTGCCTGTAATTCCGGCTACTTGGAAGACTGAGACAGAAGGATCACCTGAACCCAACAGGTCGAGGCTGCAGTGGCCGGGAGTGTACCACTGCACTCCAGTCTGGGCGACAGAGTGAGACTCCAACTCAAAAAATAAAAATAGAGAGAGAGAGAGAGAGAGATGTGAATGGGAGAAATTGGACAGAATACTAACAGTCCTAAATCACAGCCACGTGAAGAGTCCCAGCTACTTCTGAGGCTGAGGCCAGAAATTCAAGGCTGTAGTACGCTATGCTTGTGCCTATGAATAGCCACTGCTCCCCAATGTAGGCAACATAGCAAAACCTGGTCTCTAAAATTTAAAAAAAAAAGGTTGGGAGTCACACCTCCTTGTTGATAGTGAGAATCCTTGCAAGGCTCCCCTCTTTTTATAGGCGAAGAAAGGGTCTTAAGTGCCTGGAGCCCATCAGGCCTTATTCTCCTTAGGGTATATGGGTGAATACATGGTCCTAGATCTCGTTTACACAGCCCACCTGTAACAAGTTCTCCACCTGGGTTGTGCCTTAGACTTACTGGGAAGTTTTTAAAAATCCCATTGCCAGCCGGGCTCGGTGGCTCAGCCTGTAATCCCAGCACTCTGGGAGGCTGAGGTGAGAGGATTGCCTGAGCCCGCGGGTTCGAGACCCACCTGGGCAGCGAGACCTCATCTCTACAATAAATCAAAAAATTAGCCGGGCGTGGTAGCGCACGCCTGTAATTCTGGCTACTTGGAAGGCTGAGGCGGCAGGATCGCCGGAGCCCGGCAGGTCGAGGCTGTGGTGGCCAGGAGCGGCCACTGCACTCCAGTCTGGGTGACAGAGTGAGACTCCAACTCAAAAAAAAAAAAAAAAAAAAAAATCCCATTGCCGCCGGGTTCGGTGGCTCAGCCTGTAATCCCATGCTTTGGAAACCTGAGATGAGTGAATTGCCTAAGCCCGCGGGTTCGAGACCCACCTGGGCAACTTGACGAGACCTCATCTCTACAATAAATCAAAAAATCAGCCGGGCGTGGTAGCACATGGCCTGTAGTTCCAGCTACTCGGAGGCTGAGGCGGAAGGATCGCTGGAGCCCAGCCGGTCGAGGCTGCGGTGGCCGGGAGCGGCCACTACACTCCAGTCTGGGTGACAGAGTGAGACTCCAACTCAGGGGGGAAAAAAAAAAATCCCATTGCCTAGGCCACACCATATATCACTTAACTCAGAATTTCTGGGATGGGACGGAGGTGTTACAGGACTCCAGTATACAGCCATGGCTGCAGACTGCATCTCTTCTGGGTTGTCCGTTACCTCCCTTGCAGGATTCTGACGGCTTGTTTTGTGTGTGGTGGTAATGCCTTGTGCTTTGTTTTTTAACGGGAAGTGTTTTTATAGGTAATACTCAGCTGGCCTTACAGATCATCAAAAGGAATCAGCTGCTCCCTGCAGTGAAAACACACTCTGAAGTGAGAAAGAAGCCAGTGTTCCAGCCTGTCCACCCGATCCAACCCATCCAAATGCCGGCTTTCACCACTGTGCAGAGAAAGTGAGACTTCGCTTTTGGAAAACTGTTACCTGAGACCCAGGGGAGTATTCACTGCCCTTTTTAGTTGTATCACAGCAAAATGAATAAAAGACTGATGGTGAAGGTTGTTAATTTTGAAGACACAATTTGAAGATCATTCTACCATCAACTTTTTTGCCAGAAGCTTACTTTAAAATTAAAGATTCATAAGTTCATTACCAGCTATTTTTCTTTAATTTCTGGCCAGAGTATTAATTTTGAGCCATCATGTGATATATATGTCATAGACAATTAAAACATGATCTTATCAAAAGTCTTATGCAGTCTTTTCTCGCAACTATTATCTGAGGTTGGTGTTAAAATGTTTTAAATTGACTGAGAAGAACATCAGCAGTAGATAAAATAGTCCAGAAGCTGACCGGGGTAAAGAGGAGCAAGAGAGAATGGATGTGATTTATGCCTAGTTGTGACTTAAGGAACTAGAAAATACCATAGGGCTGGCATAATTGCGTTAAGAAGAGATGACGGATGTGTTAGGAGTCATTTGCTTAAACATCACAAACGCGAACCACAGGTTCAGCCTCCTGGCCTAGTGCCCCCTCCCATACCCGGAGGTAGATGAAGTGCTGGTTCTGGAGTCTGCTGGCGGGTAGTTCAAGGTCCCTGCTAACCCACTTGCAGACGCAAACAAAAATCCAATAGCTTCTTCCAGAGACTCGGGTATGTGTTTTGACGTAGATAAAATTTGTCAATAGGGGATTTATGCTCACTTTAGGTAGGGAAAAAACACGCATGCTTGCTTTAGAAAATTGGGTGACCCCCTAGTTCAGATGTTCTTGGTAGACTCATCAGCACTTGCTGTTTGGGAGTATCCCTTGCCGTCTGCCTTTCTTTAGTAACCTAGTCTGGAGACCAACCTCAGATAGAGAAGTGTAACACACTGAGTGTGCCTGGTACCTCAGCTTCAGAACTACAGAGGTAAGTGTTGGGATAAGCACATGATTCATCTGAAACCTTACCTGAATTACCCTGTTGCTGAAAGGACACAGAATTCAGATAGGGACATATACTGGAGCTGACCTTTTGTGATGTAACTAGGCATTGGCCACAGACACAGAGAGGGGAGAATGTTTGTCTCCACCTGAACATAGATGGATGTTCACAGGGGCTCCATTGTTCTGTTGCCGCCTTGCAGTTGTTTTACACACAGAGTCGATTCTTTCCAGGCAGATACAGAAGCAGAGGTGGCCTGCGTCACCAGGTCTGCAGCCCACTGCTTTCTCATGCCGTGGGCCAGCAGCCGCGGTGTGGGACCCACTCGTGCTGCCAGGATCGTAGCAGAATCGTAGCAGAATTGCTTAGCCCGGGCATTCTCCGGAGAGGGCGTCCACAGCCTTTATCACTTGCTAGGAACTCACATCGTCTTGGTAGTATGAGTAGGAAAAGGCCCATAATGATTTGTACTTCAAAGCAACACATCTTTGGAGAACTCTCAAAAATTAGAACTTTCTCTGCATGCTGGTTTGTTTGTGAGACAGCTATTAAGGGCAGGGCAGGTCTCATGTGACATAAGACTGCGTTTGGCTGTAAATGGCAAAAATAAATCTGTGGTTTACACTTGAAATGGTTTTCCTCTCTCTCGAGAAGAGGGTACGTTGGCAGCTGCTGGCCTTGGTTCTTGTGTCCGGTGACGCCATCCACGCCTCAGCCTGCTTTTCCATGCCACTACCCTTAGCATTTGGCCTTTTGTCCCCATGGTCAAGATGTTCCTGCATCACATCTGCATGGAAGGCAAGAAGAAGAGGGCAAAACGTATCTAACTCTCTAATCTGGATAGGAGACTGTTGGGAACACAGCTTTCCCAGAAACCCCGGCAGCCCCTCAGCTCATCTCCTGGCCATCCTTTCTGCAGGAAAGCCTAGAAGGAAGGCACTCACAGTGACTGCGGCAGTGGTCATGGGTTTTGCTCCTTACTTAACCCTGCACACCTTCAGGAGGCCCAGCCAGGTGTTTCCCACCAGGCGAACTGCATCTGATGCCCTGTTTGCAGATTACTGTTCCAGCACCTTGGCTCTCCCTTCCCCACCCATCCTCAGCAGAGCCCAGCAAATTAACATGAGCCCTTGGCCTCTGACAGCTCCTGCTGGTTCCTGAAGCCAGGAAGCCTTCTTTGCCTGCCTTTCCTTCCCCAGTCTGTTAGGCCACCTCTGCTAACTAAGGTACAGTAAGTCCCCTACATATGAACAAATTACGTTCTGAATCGAGTTTGTAAGGCCAACAAAGTTAGCCTAGATACCCAACTAACACCATTCGTTATATAGTACTGTACAGTAATAGGTTTATAATACTTTTCACACAAATAATACATAAAAACGGTCCGGGCTCGGTGGCTCAGCCTGTAATCCCGCGCTTTGGGAGGCCAAGGTGAGTGAATTGCCTGAGCCCACGGGTTCGAGACCTGCCTGGACAGCTTGGCGAGACCTCATCTCTACAATAAAAATCAAAAAATTAGCCGGGCGTGGTAGCGCACCCCGGTAGTTCTAGCTACTTGGAAGGCTGAGGCAGAAGAATTGCCGGAGCCCAGCGGGTCGAGGCTGCGGTGGCCGGGAGCGGCCACTGCACTCCAGTCTGGGCGACAGAGTGAGACTCCAACTCAAAAAAAAAAAAATACATAAAAACAAGTACGCAGGCCGGGCACGGTGGCTCAAACCTATAATCCCAATACTTTGAAAGGCCAGGGCTAGAGGATTAACTGAGCCCACAGGTTCGAGACCAGCTAGGCAACATGGCGAGACCTCATCTCTACAATAAATCAAAAAATTAGTCACGCACCTGTAGTTCCAGCTACTCGGAAGGCTGAGGCAGAAGGATTGCCTGAGCCCTGCAGGTCGAGGCTGTGGTTGCCGGGAGCATGCCACTGCTCTCCAGCCTGGGTGACAGATGAAACTCCAACTCAAAAAAGCAAAAAAAAAAAAAAAAAACAAGTATGCAGTATTGTACAGTAAAGTATACAAAAGCACAACCAATTGTAGAGGATGCACACATGAACTATATGCCAGACACGTGAACTAATATATGTGATGTGATGAGACATATGCCTCTTAGAAAGTTTGTGGCCGGGCACTTTGGGAGGCTGAGGCGAGAGGATTGCCTCTGACAAATTAGCTGGGCGTGGTGGTGCGCACCTGTATTTCCAGCCACTTGGAAGGCTGAGGCAGAAGGATTGCCAGAGCCCAGCAGGTCAATGCTGGGGTGGCCGTGATCATGCCACTGCACTCTAGCCTGGGCGACAGGGAGACTCCAACTCAAAAAAATAAAATAAAGTTTGCATCTTGAAGGTTCCTATGCAGGGGACTTACTATAATCCTTTTCTTTGAGTCAGTCTCACTGTTGTCCAGACTGGAGTGCAGTGTCACCCACATGGCCACTGCATCCTTGACCTGCTTGGCTCAGGTGATCCTTCTACCTCAGCCTTCCAAGTAGTTGAAACCACAGGTGTGCACCACCACGCCCGGCTAATTTTTTTATTTATTGTAGAGACGAGGTCTCACCAAGTTGCCCAGGCTGGTCTCGAACCCCTGGTCTCAGGCAATCCTCTCACCTCCACCTCCCAAAGTCCTGGGATTCCAGGCATGCACCACTGTGCCCAGCTGTACATACACTTTCTTCTGTGGTATGTGGTTTTCTGAAGGTTAATCAGTGTGGGTACGTAGGCATCAACCTCAGAGGATGGTGGTGTGCTTGCTAGGGTTTTGAATTCTGAGAAGAGCCCTGTTAGCTCTGTTAAGGCTTCACCCCCATTCAATGGCATCATCTGCAAAATGGGACAGAATCCGCCTCTCAGATGCCTTCACGGACCCAGCAAGATGTTCTAGCAGGTGTCTCTGAAACTGCATAGCATGACCTTCAGAACAGAACAGGTGGAGTTGTTCTCCATCATGCCCATGGCCCTTACCCACAGGAGGGCCTCTGCAGCGCTCTACTCAAGCCATGCCCTCCATGGTACCTAGGCCAGTACACCGTGGTCTTCCCTGGTCCATTTCCCTTGCCTGCACGTAGATACCACCAACCTTTTCCATCCTTTCATAACAACGTGCCCCGATATTATCCCACCACTCATAGTCCCTTTTCTTTTATTATTATTATTATTAAGTCAAAGTCTCATTCTGTTGCCCAGGCTGGAGTGCAGAGGCACAATCACGGGTCACTCCAGCCTCAAACTCCTGGGCTCAAGCGATCCTCTAGCCTCAGCCTCTTCAGTAGCTGCGACTGCAGGCACACACCACCATGCCTGGCTAACTTTTTTGATTTTTGTAGAGAGAATGTCTGACTATGTTGCCTAGGCTGGTCTTGAACTCTTGGGCTCAAGCAATCCTCTAGCCTTGGCCTCCCAAAGTGCTAGGATCACAGGCATGAGCCATCGCGCTCAGCCTAGAGTTTTTTATTTTTTATGTTTTTTGAGTTGGAGTCTCACTCTGTCGCCCAGACTGGAGTACAGTGGCACGCTCCCAGCCACCGCAGCCTCGACCTGCTGGGCTCCGGCGATCCTCCCGCCTCAGCCTTCCGAGGAGCCGGAACTACAGGCGTGTGCTACCACCACCGGTTAATTTTTGATTTATTGTAGAGACAAGGTCTCGTCAAGTTACCCGGGAGGTTCTCGAACCCGCGGGCTCAGGCAATCCACTCGCCTGAGCCTCCCAAAGTGCTGGGATTACAGGCTTTATTTTATTTTTTAGCGACATGGTCTCATTTTGTTGCCCAGGCTGGAGTACAGTGATGAGATTATGGCTCACGGCAGCTTCGACCTCGTGGGCTCAAACAGTCCTTCCAACCTCAGCCTCCTGGGTAGCTGGAACTATAGGCACATGCCACCACAGCCTGCAAATTTTGAAATTTTTTGTAGAGACAGGTTGGGTGGGGGTCTCGCTGGGCTGCCCAGGCTGGCCTCAAGTGATCCTCCCACCTTGGCCTCCCCAAGTGCTGGGATTACAGGTGTGAGCCAAGCCTGGCCACTTTTCTGGTTAGTTAGCTGTGAGCTCTGCCCCTTACTCAACTCAAGTGACTTTCTCTCTCTCGAGGTTTTTTTGACCAGTTTGTAAAATGAAGGTCCCTGAGCTGGGCTCGGTGGCTCAGCCTGTAATCCCGCGCCTTTGGGCAGATGAGGTGAGTGGATGGCCTGAGCCCGCGGGTTCGAGACCCGCCTGGGCAGCGAGACCTCATCTCTACAATAAATCAAAATATCAGCTGGGCGTGGTAGCGCACGCCTGTAATTCTGGCCTACTCGGAAGGCTGAGGCGGAAGGATCGCCGGAGC